GTCTGGAATTGTGCCCGGTATATAGCAATAGGCTCATCCCTTATTACATGGGACTCATAACATAAATAGTGAGAAGTGGGTGTTACAGTGGCATAATGTGCACCTCTGCCTACCCCTTCGGGAATAAAAGGCGTGATGTTATGTAATATTTACCATCCACGTTTACTTTTAATATACTTAATGTAACATACACTTGGTATTAAAATAATGCAAGATTGCGCTAAATCTTTCGATTGCGCAAGTAAGTTGCGCAAATGACATATTTACCTATGTAGACTTAAAGGTATTATGTACTTAGAGTTTTGTATGTAATCTAGATAACATACACGTTAATGAAACATCGCTAATCCATTATGACAAATGAGTACTTAAAAATAAGTAACAATCAGTTGTACTGTACCTTTCTACAAGATTTTTCAATATAATGATAATGTATCGGTGCGCGAGTACATTTTTGTTTAAAACTAATTGCAATGGTATTTTCGTGTGTCATAGTTATTTATTTATTTAGTAGATACTTTCGAACTATCCGTGTGTTACCCTATTGCTATACGGACTTAAGTTATCTATCATTTTCATCCGGATTTTTGTTATCGTAATTAATATGCGGATGTATTTGATAAGCAACAAGGTTCTTTATTGATTGGATGTGTAACTGATTCCAGTAAATAGGTAATTCGCTGATGGTTTATAGGGCTAGAAAAAGAGTAAGACATAAGTTTAAGTCACGTTATGGGGTGGGGGACATACAGGAACTGAGATTACTGAGATATGTTTGTGTCTTATATTTCTTTTTACCCTTCTCGTAACACATCGACTCAGTTTTCTTTTAACTTTTATAGTTTACTAGCGGAACCAACAGACGTTGTCTTGCATATCCACTTGAATGTATAAACAAAAAATCATTAAAATTAGTTCAGCTGTTTAGGATAAATAACCTAAACATCGACTGCAGCGCCATCTGCCGGGCTGATTTGTGAACCTAAACCATTCCCAGATCCCCTTGAACACACACAAAAAATTTCATCAAAATCGGTCCAGTCGTTTGAGAGAAGTTCAGTGACATACACACTCACAGGAGAATTATATATATAAAGATAGATTTATATAATAGGGAATATTGTTTGTACTTTATTTAAAGTTAAGCTGCACGGTTGGTTGATTGGACAACTGGCTGCCGTGCAACGTGTAGCGGATTCGCACAGAGTCCCTCCGTGTGAACCAACTCATTGTATGATCCACAAATTGTTGTTTCGGGTCTGGGTGTCATGTGCATGTGAAATTGTATGTTTGTAAACGCACTCATAACACAGGACGAAATCTTAATACCTATGGGGCAACGTTTTAAATAAAAGATCAGATTTTCGGGATTATTAAGGATTTTGAAACAAAGCCATTAATAACTCCTCAATGTTCAATGTTTTATATCATCCATCTTAATATGTTTACGTAGTATATTCAGTAACCACCGGTTATCACAGACGTGTCTTATCTCTTGTAAACTAAACCCTATCTAAATTACATTGACCTGTGACCTATGAACTTCCCGGATGACCTTTCATTGACATACGCACCGACACTCCTACGCACACGATTCATATTACATATGATTGCATATTCGTCGTAGGTTACTTTGCATCTTTGATATTTAAACGACTTCAAAAGAGGAGGAGGTTAAACGATAACTGTAATTTTTGTTCAAACTCAAATTCAAAAGCATTTATTGCAATTAAACCCTAATTTGGTACTTTTAAAACGTCAAAAATATAAAATAAATAATAGTCTGTCAGTCTGTCCGTCAGTGAAGCTAGGTGCTCATTCCTAAAGTAGATTTAAGTAGAGAAGAACGAGCAATAAACTCCATTCGTTGCTCTTTAAATTCAAAAAATAGTATGTTTACAATCTCTCTGAAATATTTTCGAATATTGTACGTATATGTGAGAACAATGTAAATACACGCTTGACTTGACACGTTCGAAAGAATATATTTCCTTGTTGGTCCCTTTTTCACCAGGGGGCTTACTCTTTAATCCAATTCCGATCGATCGACATTGGTATTGTGAATATCCACGCAATACGGATGCAATGGGCGCTAGTGTTACAACTCAAGAGTACGAAATTTCACAATACCAATGTCGATCGATCGGAATTGGATTCAAGAGTAAGCCCCCTGATGGAAACATGGACGTCGAGGGAAACTTTTATTTTAATTGTAGGTAGGGCTAGGGACTACTACAGCGTTGGTATTTTTTTTTTGTTATGGTTAGTAATTTTGGAGTCTATACAAGTTTGCACTGACACCTATCACCCTAATATATATTATATACCTGAAAGTTTCTTTGTTTGGATGTTTGTAGTTAATCCTGCAGAAACTACTGAACGGATTTTGATGGGTATACAGGCAGGGTATGGGTGATAGGACTTTTTATCCCGATTAAATGCCCCCACGGGGTAAAACAGGAATACGAGGGCAAAGCCGCGGATAAAAGCTAGCCTATTATAATGGACGTCATCGTCAGGTCGAGAGTATTACCACAAGAATAATGCAAAAACAAATACAACATAACAATATTATCACAGGTGCACTGTTGATAATTGTGGCTGCTACGTATACAGAACATATAGGTATAGTAAATAAGTACTTTACTTACCCACTTATAGTTTGCTTTTGGGGAAAATCATCGAATGACTTTTCTCGCCTGGGTGAGGCAGGAGGGAGTGTCAGACTCTTACTGACTAAAAACCACCCCGTTCCTACTCTTGCCCTTCGAGCCGGAGCCCCGGCAACCTGTTAAGTTAAGTGCTCCGCGGATCCGTATCGGCATCAGCCCTATTGGGCGATCCGTGGTAGACCACCACGGAACGTAATTTCTACGCTGTCGGTAGCCCATAACAGTCATAGGTTATAACTCTACAAATCTCGTTTCCATGGGAACGCAATCTTGCTTATTTATTATAAAGTCTATATATCCGCGTGGAATAAGTAGCCCAAGTTTCTCTTAAGTAAGTACATCAGCTGTCGATAAAAGTCCCGTCAAAATTGGTCCAGCCATTTCAGAGATTGGTATAAACAGACAGTCAGAGAAAAAGTTATTTTGGTGTATGTCATCATCACCACGCCTTTTATCCACGAAGGGGTGGGCAGAGGTGCGCATTACGGCACTTAATGCCACTATACGAATTATACTATGTACTTTTGTGTACTTACATATATTCACGGACACTTCAATTTTAATTATATTATTATGTATAGATAGATGTAGATAAATGTATAAACAAAACTATCAATGAATAAGGGCTCGTACACAAAACTGTGATGCGACGTCGCATCGCAAAAATGTGCGAGCTCCCTCTACGTATCGCAAGAACTTGCGAATTGATTTGCATCGCGCATCAAAATCTTATCTTCCCAAAACCTTCTTTGTTTCTTTTTCCTGTATTTCTTAAGCAATAACAGAAGTGCACACTTCTTTTTACGATCCATGTCACAAACTAGTTTTCAATCTATACAAATATTATAAAACTGAAGAGTTTGTTTTTTTAGTTTGTTTGTTTGAACGCGCTAATCTCCAAAACTACTAGTCCGATTTGAAAAATTCTTTCTGTGTTGGATAGCCCATTTATCGAGGAAGGCTATAAGGTATAATATCATGCTACGATTAATAGGCGCCAATCAGAGCGAGTGAAACCGCGCGGAAGTAGCTAGTTTAAAATACGTTTAGTACGGTTAACGGTCGTCGAAGGAATGGTCAATGGTCATCCTGGGAGACGCCTTGTCGCACGAAATCGCATCGCAGTTTTGTGTGCGAGCCCTAAATGTTACCTTTGAGTATGTTTGTATTTGTAATAGTTTAGCGAAAACACTCATTGTGTTCAAACAAAACAAGGTCTAAACAATTCATGTTAGCACTTAATAATTATTATGGTCGTACTAACAAATAAATATTATTTACTCTTATTTATTATGTAGACTATATACAATATAATAATAATTATGTACATATTGTCTACATAAATATCTTCTATTGTTCTTTAGCTATACAGGGTGGAATTTTGTAATGCCATCTGAAGGGGAAGTACTCTTAAAACTGTAGATAGAATTTTTCTCCTTTATTTTTGAAAAGAAAGAAAACTGCATTCGAAGATTTTTTAAAATTCGCTTGTCGCACCCGGTAAATGAACCGACTAAAATCTGTAATAGTTGCACCCTGTACCTACTTTTATTGCATCGATTGTTAGTTATCTCGTAGTGAACTTCAACTTTCAACTCGTTTACTCCTATCTATTATGTCAGCCCATAACGCGCCTTTATACCAAATTTCATTAGTTTCAGCGTGATTGACGGACAAACATACAAACAAAGAAACTTTCACATTTATAATAATTATTATATTAGTGTGATATCTTGTTTAAAGCAAGTCCTTTTCGATATCTTAACAGAAAATTGGAAAAACATGCATTCATAAAATATGCAAACGGATGTATAAGGAACTTAAGAGGAAAATTTTATTACTTACTAGTTACGTAATCGCTTAATTAATAATAAATAATCTTTATTTTATTGTGACATATTATGTGGTTATTAAATTCTTACGTTACCTATGTAATCGTGTGAATATTTTTCCATTATTGTGTCTACAAGCAAAATTAATCACGTTGATATCTTCAAGGGATAAACTTAAAGGGTAATTATAATTAAGCCATCAACATTATCAACAGATCAGCTAGACAAATACCTACCTCCCCCTACCTTAGTCCTCCACGTCGAACGACATCCACCTGCATCCACTTTTTTAAAGGGGGAAAATCATCCAATTACTTCTCCCGCCTTGGGTTAGGCGAGAGGTAGTGTCAGACTCTTACTGACTAAAAACCACCCCGTTCCTACTCCTGCTCTTCAGGCCATCTTTCATCTTACGCGGCTCACCAGCATTTACGGGCTCACATACATACATCATGTAATGCATTTATTTTCAAAGTCATTTTATGTTTCTTTTCAGAGGTACGATGGCCTCAGCGATCCTAGTAACAGGCGGTGCTGGATACGTGGGCTCACACACAGTAGCCTCCATTTTGGAAAGAGAGACAGCACCAGATTTTGAAATAGTAGTCGTAGATAACTTAACAAACGCGTACAGAGCAGAAGGCCAGAAGAAACCAGAAGCGATAAGGATAATCGAAGAGTTGACCAATAAGAAGATCAGTTTCTACGAATTAGATCTTAGTGATAAACAGGGATTGAGTAAGATTTTTGAAAAGGTTAGCTTTTTTTAATTGTTTAAGTGTTTTATTCTCTATAGAGCTGTCTATATTAGTCACTGTTTGGAACCACATATATTTCTTAAGTGAGAGTTTCACATGCCCAACCCAGGCAATCCATTTGATTGCACCATTTTTTCGGGATATATGTCTCCGAAAATTACAGCACATTTTATTTTTGTTGCAACCAATACAGGACCTATAAACATTTGTTGACTTTTTGCCAACTGTACCTAGTTTTTTATGCGATAAACCGGTAAACGAGCAGGCGGATCACCTGATAGTAAGCAATAGGCGCCGCCCATGGACACCCGGAACACCAGAGGCGCTACAAGTGCGTTACCGGGCTTTTATTTCCGGGGATAAGGAATTTATGGATTGTTGGGGATTCAGGGATCGGGGAGATTGGGGAATGGGAGGGGGATAATTGGGCTAACCTCACTCACACGACGAAACACAACGGAAGCGTTGTTTCACGTCGGTTTTCTGTGAGGCCGTGGTATAACGCCAGTCGAGCCGGCCCACGAGCCGAAGCATGGCTCTCCCACACTTCAATTACAGTTACATAAAATAGCATTTATTTAGCACAATATTTTATTTTTGTTTTTAATTAATATGTTCGTTAATAATTTCCAGCACAGTATAGAATGTGTGATCCACTTCGCGGCGCTGAAGGCGGTGGGCGAGTCGGTGCAGAAACCACTGGAGTACTACCAGGCAAACATTACTGGAACATGCACACTACTAGAGGTATGAGAAAAATATTGTTTTTTAAATATTTTTTTATAGTATAGGTCGGCAAACAAGATGACGTATCACCTTATGGTAAGCGATTGACGCCTCCCAAGGACACCCGTAACACCTGAGAAGTTACAAGTACGTTGCCGTCTTTTAGTAACGTAGCCATTTATTTTTTAACTAAAAATCGCGGCCACGTGAAAATACCGATTAAAGCTCTACTAATTTCGAACCACAGAGGGGCTCTTCCTTCATTAGCAGCGTGTGGTTCGAAACTAGTAGAGCTTATCTCAGTATATTCACGTGAGTAACATGCGATTTTTAGTTAATTTAGTAAGCTTCACGATAGTTATTATAAAAACATTTATTTTTTGGCTCAGAACAGGACATTTGTTTATTTAGATTCACTTAGGCATCTTGTAGCTAGATCCTATTATAGAATATAGAACCTGTAAACACAAACTTTGTGCCCACAACAAGAAGGTTAACATCCATTTAAAACCTGCTTAAAGTTTTTTTGACTGTACCTCGTCAAAAACTACGATTTATATGTCTATAACTCGTATGTATATAATTAACTAACGGCCCGCCCCGGCTTCGCACGGGTGCAATATGCATGTATTATACATATAAACCTTCCTTAAGAATCACTCTATCTATTAAAAAAACCGCATCAAAATCCGTTGCGTAGTTTTAAAGATCTAAGCATACATATGGACAGACAGACGGCGGATAGCGACTTTGTTTTATAAATGTAGTGATATGACGCTGTATCGCTCTCACACACACTTGAGGCGTCCGAACGGTCGTCGCATAGAACGCAAATTTTTGCTTGGCTTCCGGAAATGGGACAATTTTCGTCTCAGAATTCATTTCGGGGACAACGGGACTTGTAATTATATAAAGTGACAGCCCTGTTCAAAACGGGACATCTGGTCACGTTATCTTTTAGGGGATTTGATATTTGAATTTGTGTATTTAGAGTTGACGATTGGAGAAGGAAGGCAGAATTAGATATTCTGTTCATTTTGTGTAAAGTATCCATCCAATGAAGTCCGATGCGTTCCACAACATATAGAAAACAGCATAGATTCCACAAATAATTAAATTAAATGGGAGGAAAATCTTCTGCACTGCCTCGTTGGCCGAGTGATCGCAAGTGCGACTGCCGGGCAAGGGGTCTCGGGTTCGATTCCCGGGTCGGGCAAAGTATTACTGGGTTTTTAAAAATTCTCAGTAGTAGCACGGAGTCTGGAATTGTGCCCGGTATATGGCAATAGGCTCACCCCTTATTACATGGGACTCATAACATAAATAGTGAAAAGTGGGTGTTACATTGTACAGTGGCATAATGTGCACCTCTGCCTACCCCTTCGGGGATTAAAGGCGTGATGTTATGTTATGTATGAAAATCTTCTATATCGCGTATTTGTCCACAGGTAATGCGCAGTTACGGCGTATTTAAGCTAGTGTACAGTTCGTCTTGCACGGTGTACGGGGAGCCGGAGCGCCTGCCCATAGACGAGGGACACGAGACAGGCCGCGGACTCACCAGTCCGTACGGCAAGTCCAAGTACTTCTGCGAGGAGATCATGAAGGATCTCTGTACTAGTGACCAGGTTAGTGATACATGAAAATAACTATTTAATGATATACTTATAAATAATCATTGCTAGGCGAGATAGTGGTCAAACGTCGGCCCATCAATTGCATACATACAGACAAACTCAAAAATTTCAAAAACCATATCTTTAGCTTCGGTATCGATTGTAGATATAAAATATGTATCGTAGTGGCCCGGAGATTTAAGACGCCCGCTTCTCATGCATGAGGGTGCGGGTTCGAAACCTACCAACGGCAAATACCTATGTGACTTTTTCCGAGCTATATGTATTTTCTAAGATTATCTAGACACTACTGACAAACGGTGAAGGAAAACATCGTGAAGAAACCTGTGCTTATAATTTCTAATTATGAGTTTGAAATCGCCAACCCGCATTAAGCAAGCGTGGTGATTAATGCTCAGACCTTCTCCGTGTGAGAAGAGGCTTTGCTCATCAGTGGGCATTTATAGGCTGTTGATGATGATGATAATGAATTATAAATATGTTTAATAATGTAATGTTTTCTTGCCAGAGATGGAAGATAATATCGTTGCGTTACTTCAACCCCGTGGGCGCACACCGTAGCGGTCGCATCGGAGAGGATCCCGCCGGTATACCCAACAACCTCATGCCTTTTATAGCACAGGTAATTTACTCAAATTCTTACCTAATTAATAAGTTGATATATCGTACCGAACATTTGTTCATACAAAAGTAGTCACTAAACGTCGAGAATAAGGTCTATAATGGAGTAAGTGGAGGGCGGTCACCGGTGACCGCTTGGGATTGAGCAGTTGATAAAACTCTTGGACTGGACTTGGACATCTTTCCCGATTCGCTTCACGTGTTTAGGAATAAAGTAGTTAAAACATTTAAGTAGTATTATTAGATTGCTTTTAATTATTATTGTTATTTTATTTTTGTTTGCTTTGATTTTTTTTGTCTTTACTAATATAATTGTACATGGAATTTATGATCCCGTGAGTGTTGTGTACATTTGTCACTGGTATGCATATCAGAATTTTTTAATTTTGTATTCAACTGTATTATGGCTAGTGTATAATATGTATACTGTTGATGTGCCTTTAATAAATAAATAAATAAAAACTCTATCCAAAATATATTTCTGTATAAAATAAATGGTGCCCAAGACTTTAGTTTTTCTCTCGGAAATGTCTATTGTGCATATTTTTGGGTTATCAAACTTGTTCAGTTCATTTTACAGGTGTTTTGGTGCAAAACCTGAATTCTAATTAGTATCAGCCTTTTTTTATGTATATTTTGACAATTTAATACTGCATTATAATCTCGGTTCTACACATTGCATTATATTAGGCTCACGTAATTGACGAGGTTACTTAACTAATTTCATAATATGAGCCCCTATCGTGGCCCGAAACGAATCGAGCGAACTCGTGAAAAAGAAACGAGAAAGCCGTTGAACATAATTAATTCAATATGTTTCTGTATGTTATACAAAAATATTAATTATAAATAATTTCCTTAATCAAAATTAATTTATTTCGAATGTGAACGTATGAATGAAATGAAAAATATTTTTTTAAATATTTCATTGTATTGTACAATAACATATAAAAAAAAATCATTTTCATCAATTGATTTTATGACCAACTCAATTTTAGTATTTTTCCAGCAAATTTTTAAGAAATAAGTATGCTGTTTGACGCTACAGAAACGTGACGTCACAATACATAGTCTCGTACAAAATTCATAGAAAACTGTCGTTTTTGACAGTTCGAAAAAAGTATTGAATTTGACTAGTTGGCAAGTACCCAATTTATTTAAATCTCTACAGGTAGCAGTGGGTCGTCTCCCGGAGCTGATGGTATTCGGTAACGACTACCCGACAGTGGACGGCACCGGAGTCCGCGACTACATACACGTGGAGGACCTGGCCGACGGACACGTGAAGGCGGTGCGACTGTTCCAGCAGCCAGGGTTCAGCGGGTTCCATGCTGTCAATCTTGGTGAGTCATGAATGTGTGCTTTGGAGTAGTTCATTTTGGTAGATGAGTGGTCGCAACTGAGTGGTGGACTGTCGGGCAAGGGGTCCCGGGTTCGATTCCCGCACGGAACAACACTTTGTGTGATCCAAAAATTGTTGTTCCAGGTCTGGGTGTCATCTGTATGTGAATTTGTATATTTGTAAACGCACCCACGACACAGGAGAAAATCCTAGTGTGGGGCAACGTTTTATAAGTTGTTGATAGACTCGCCCCCCTATTACATGGGACTCATAACATAAATAGTGAAAAGTGGGTGTTACATTGTACAGTGGTATAATGTACACCTCTGCCACTGTAATTGGGCTTCCGGTAACCTCACTCACACGAGGAAACACAACGGAAGCGTTGTTTGACGTCAGTTTTCAGTGAGACCGTGATATCGCTCCAGTCGCGTCGGCCCATTCGTGTCGAAGCATGACTCTCCCACCACTTAAAACTAAACTTACTCAAACTAAACTCTCCTTTCCCCTTCCAGGCACAGGCACTGGCTACTCAGTCCTACAAATGATAGCAGCATTCAAGTCCGCGAGCGGGCGCGACATACCCTACCGCATCGTAGGACGGAGGGCGGGCGATATAGCGGCCAACTACGCAGACGTGTCGCTCTCACACCGCCTCCTCGCCTGGAGGGCCACGAGGACTCTGGAGGACATGTGCGCGGATACTTGGAGGTGGCAAAGCAATAACCCTCAGGGGTTTAAGAGTAGTTAGAAGGAAGAAGAGTTGGCTGGCTTTGGTATGTTGTCATGCGAATTTGTATTTGTATTTCCAAACCGATACCTTTCAAGAAAAAAGCGTATTTCTTTTTAAAATGCTGGCAACGCACCTGTGACGCCTATGGTGTTGCGGGTGTCCATGGGCGGCGCTGATCGCTTACCATCAGATTATCCGCCTGCTCGTTTGCATTCTATTCCATAAAAAAAATGCTGGCGCCATACATGTGGGCACATGTATAAAAGGATAGTGCAAGTTTGTAAATTCTTTCATAGTTTCTTTAGGATGTAGCTAAGTTATATTTATGTAATAGTTGCTGCAATATTTTGAGAAGAAATACTGGAAGTCAGATGAATTTTTAAGATAATTATTGTATTGTTATAGAGTTGACACGCAAAGAGATTTGACAATTTAAGTTACTATATACGGACGTCATTATTGTGACAGTAAATGAGAATCAGTAAACTAAAAAATGAATTATACTTACATAAACAACTTTAATACAATACAATAAAATCTAAAATTCAATGTCAACATTACTACCAAGTCAGCCAAGAATGCTTGAATACGTATTCCGTATTGTATCGCCATATTTATTTATTTAAGATAACTGCAGCCATTTTAGAATTGTAATAACATGACGTTAAATTGTTTTACGATGTTGATGTGGCTTTGGTTTGCGATAGCAGTATATTTCAGGCTAAAATAAGACTAGGTTAGAACCTATAATATGTTTAAAAACTCTCCTTTTATTATTTATGCCATTATTGCCATAAACACAATCTAATTTAGCGTTAGGGGCGTCCATAAATTACGTGAGATGTCTTTTTTTAATATTCTGTCCCCCGATCCCCTCAGGTGAGATTTTATTCAACATCCTCCCCCATCCCCCAAAATCACGTGAGATTTTTTCAAAATGTTGGTTTTTCACGTAAACGCTTTGGAGTGATTTTGAAGTTTAAATATAGTTAGTAACAGTTAAGTAAAAAATAATTATAATGTTACTGTTATCGCAAACCAAAATCAAGTTCAAATCCATTAAAAATAATCGAATAATTATTATTAACGTTTATTATACCAAAATTGTTACCAAAATGTTAGTTGTTCCTATTGTGTTGCCATACTTTATTTTTATATTCTACTGTATTTAGTATATTTTTATAATTTAATGTAATAATTTTATTAATTTAGGACCAAAGCAATACCAAATACATGCCAAAGCATTTATCAGTGATTTTAAAGGAGAAATATATTTTTTATATTAATTAATTTGTTGATTAAGTATGAAGATTCATTATTTATGCATAAAAAATAGTAAAAAGTATTTACTTTCCCAATTTTGAAATTAGCATGGAATTTAAATACATGTTATTATTTGCATTTTTATGTTTTTAATATCACGAAATTGTGATTAAAAATCTTGATTTTCTACTGTTATTTTGTTTTAAATAATGGCAATGATTGCATTTTATTGTTTGACCATTAATATTATATGACTAAAAAAGTTCAAAATATTATTTTTTTTAGTTATCCCCCAGTAACGGGATTATTGATTATTTTGTTAATAATTATTATTAGCGTAAGGTGCTAGCTAAACCAAATGTAACGGCATTGCCTGTCGGCATAAAACTGATTTTATCATTCCTTATTTACTTGCTATTTTTAAAGGAAAAATATTTTGTTTATTTATTTTGTGGTGCTAATTTTTATTATGTAACTATTTTCATTTAATTATGGATTAATTGTTGTGTGTAATAATTAAAATAAACATTTATTATATTAATTTTTTGTTTTTTTTTCTTAATTTTCTACCTCCCTAAAACAAACTGCCATGCCTGTTAACAAAAATATTCTTGACCAATGCCAGAATATTTTTTAAAACGGTCCCAGTTCTACCAGTCATTTCCACCCTGTTCCTCAAATAGCATAAATGTTTTTACGTAAGGTGAACAATGTTGCTCCTATACATATAGGGCCTATACGTTCCTTTAAGGTACTAGCCAAAGCCAAAAATGTACGAAGTTTTCGTACCTTTTTGGCTAGAACCTCTTGATTTTCAGATATTGCAAGATTTTCGTGTCAGAGGCCTAATAAATTTAATAGTTTGAATATGTTAAGACTTTATCCTAGATGGCCAGCATACAAACTTATTGCCTGAAAATACAGGTACACATAAATTACTGTCTTACCGCCGTACTCATGCCGGAATACTGAAACTTTACTCAATTTTAAGTCGTGCTTAAATATCGTGCCATCTCTGTCATTATACAAAGAATTTGTAGAGACAGAACTATACTTAAGCGCGACTTAAAATTGAGTAGCGTTTGAGAACCTATTCCGACATCAGTCATTTAATGACTACTTAAACCAGTCCTTCGACCCGAGCGTACGGCGCGTCGCGTTCCGCGCGCGCCTCAAAGAGCCATCAGACCACCACAGATGGGGGCCAATAGGGCCGATGCCGATTCGGAGTCGCGGAGAACCTAACGGGTAACCGGGGCTCCGGCTCGACGTGCAGGAGAAGGAACGGGGTGGTTTTTAGTCAGTAAGAGTCTGACACTCCCTCTCGCCTCACCCAGGTGGGAGCAGTCATTCGATGATTTTTCCCCCGTTAAAAAAAACCCAGTCCTTCGCAATTGTTTTCGGAACAAAATCGTTAGTAAGGAATAGTTTAAGTAATTATTGAATGTCTCTGAGTATCGCAGGCGATCTCGGGGACAGGATAATTTTACTTTGAAATTTTATGTGTACTGAACTCAAATGCCTAGATAAACCATAAGATTTAGGGTATTATGTGAGATTACAGTCAGTTATAAACAACTGAACCAGAAACGTCAGAATATGAAAAATCGAAAACAAGTGAAAATTACGAAAGAAATCATGAAAATAAATTGATAACTTCAAAACTACGCAAAATTGTAAAATTATTGAACATGAACATACATGGGGTTATTTGGATACTCCTCATCATAAAGTATCTAAATTTTACACTTGGACGTCAACTCCCCGGCCACCCTGCATGAATACAAAGAAATAAAACACGAAAATATTTTAATTAATCTGTATTATCTAAAATTACAAATCTTTCATAATTTCAATCATTACACCTAGTTACCACGTGATAATTCAGCACATACTATTTATTTACTTTGTTGTCTAAAAATATCAGATTTACATTTTTACAACAATCTCTAACAATTAACATTGAATTAGTTATCTGTGGGGCGGGAGGAATTAGAAAAAGAATAAGGCAGCCATCTTTGAAATGCTTACTGTTCACTTGTCTATGAACTTAAAAAAAATATACGATTGAAAGGAAAGGAGGTTGCTATTAAAACATTATATATTTTATTAAGAAAATAAGTGCTAAGTATGGGAAACTGTGCTGAAATCATAAAAGAAACTTATATGAAAAATTTTACTTAAATTAAGTTTTCATACAGCATGCTTTAGAAATATTGGTACATATACCTTAGTTCATTATAACATTTTAATTAAAAATGATACATTTTCCTTTAGCTATTTTATTAAACTGACTGTTATAAATATTTCATTTTAAAAACAAATTATTCATAATTGTGTATTTTTATTCACTTTACGGCTATCTAATAAATACCATTTATATTTAATTTATGATTGGTTTATAATCTATATTAGAATATAATATGTAATCTATAATTTACATATTGCTTTACAGAATACATTTAATCAATATTTCTAAACACGCTGTCAAAGAAAAAATTGCACCTATTTCATTCAAAGACATTGCAAACAATGGAACGAAAATGTATTTACAAATCAACACAAGATAAAAAAAAATTAGGGTCAATTCATACATATATGCGCATAGTTAAAACGTCAAATGTGACAGCAATTTTACCCTTACCTATAACAAAATAAAGCACATTTTCATTTAGAGACATAAAACGAGCCGGTCGAATTCACGTGTAATCGATGGAATTCATGCGTCTAACATCGATTTATGGATCTAAGAAGGAAAATATGCATTATATTAAAGATATACGGGTGACTTTGCTATATCACATTTTTAGTTTGACGTTTCGAACTCTGCACCAATAGCAATGACCGCTTGAACAAAATGGCGTCAACCAAAATGTCCTTTTTACAATGTGTCAAGTTGTAAATATAATTTTCCAATATTTTGATATTTTTACGAAAATATATAACTTTTAAAAGATTGTGAATCAAATATTTTTATTTGATTTGTCAGTACATACGTTTGTAAGATTCAAAACTTAAAATCCATTCATACATTTAAAGTAAGGATTAAATTAAAAGTATAAAAAGCTTGGAAAGTAACTCGGAAATCAGCTAAAACATATATGTTGCGTCGCTTTGACATATTTATATGACATGTATTTCACATATTACGTCAAACTTTAGTAGGCAAAAAAATAAAAAAATAAAAATAAATTTTTAAAACAAAAATGTAATGGGTAAGCTCTGGCAACACTAATTTCAATCTGTCAACCTGTATTGATTCCAAATTCAAATGCACAATTTGAATTCAGATTACAATTTAAAAGAAATAGACAATATTTACCTCTATAGTTTGACGTAGATAGTTTCTTATATTTTTATTAACGGTGTATTTTATACATGAGAAATCAACATACATCTAATATATCTAAAAGCATTGTAGTTACACATAGAGCACAATTCAGTGTGAATATCAACCCAAAAAAGTCAATTTTACTTAAATTTTCATGCTCAAAGGGTTTCGGTTTAAGCTGTAACCAATCGGGGGTCCATATTCATACTGTTTTGTATTTACTAATCATCTGTAAGGCAACCATTGGTAGTGGATAGTCTAAGACATTGATATGGGAGCATACTTTGTTCTTGGGTCGTGATCATCTAACGGGTGCGAAGGGAAATGTGCTCAAAGGTTGAAGATATAAGATTGGAAATTGTTTAATGTAGTTTATTCTAATTTAGATAATTATGACGGTTTATTCTGAGTTAAATATTATTGATGATAATTTAGTGTAATTGACGTTTTAGATCAACAGTAGGTACTTACAATCTTAGTTTTAAGCATCTAATTCTGTGGAACTGTCAGAAAAATTCTTCTAAGCATGCCATCTCTTTCTAACATACTCTTTCTTTTTCAGAGCACATTTCCACTCCCCGTTGGACGTTAAGCAAGGGGTGTGGTGTTATTTAATACTAAATTACTTTGGTCGTTAGGTAACTTACGGAAATAGACGGGTTCGAGGCCAAGAAGTGTTCAGACGCTACCATATCAACGTATGAGTGGAGATACAAACTATTATAGTACTTTAGCAAGTCGCATTCGAAGGAATTACTACCTTATTTTAAAGAGAATAAGGTATAATTTTTGCTGTTATACTTCTACTTCTAAACACGAATTGCCAAAGCACAAAAAAGTATTTATTACATAATGAAACACATTCTGCGAACACTAGTCAAACGGATTTCTTACATACTTATACATAAACAAATAAAAAAACACCCAAATCAGATGAGATCCTGGCGAATACCAGATTCAATGTGATATGAAAAGCGGTGCAAAACTGTTTTGTAAAAAAAAAGAAAAGAGGCTGAACGAGTTGTTGTCTGAGCCAGTGCTGTCAAATTATTTAAAAAAGGAATTTATTTAAGACGGGCAATTTAAAACATTGGTTAGCCAACGCCAATAGTTTGGCCAACATTTTTATTATTACTATGATAAACCTATTTTTATGAGTCAAATGTTGGCACAAACATTGGCTGAATTTGGCTGAACAATGTTTAGAAATCGTAGTACATTTTTTTTATTATAATCTGTACTATAATTATCTATGTAAATATATATTTTATTTATTGCATTTCTTTGTCATTGACAACACTGGTTGAAAGTTAGTGTTGCATATGGAATTTATTTTGTTACTATTCAAATTACAATTTTTTAGTTAATATTCACTCACATGTTTGTTTAAATATTTGTAGGCACAAAACCACTAATTTATTAGTTAAGGCACAACTCTAAATGGGAAAAGAAAAAAGAATTGTATTTGGATAGATTTTGGCAAGATTTTAGTGTCTGGTCACTCAAAAGAAGTTAATAATATTTATTTTTTAGTAAAACAAGTCATATTTCTTTACTTTAACCATCTAATAACACAGAGATTGTGTATTTGTCAATATCTTGTAAAACAAAAGATACCTACTTAGGTAACTCTGTTTTTAAGTCAAATTGGAAAGTTCCAGAATATATATTGCAGTTAATACATTAACAGGCACTTTTAATATGAAACTGGAAATGCTATAGCACTGAGGAAGCAAGACTTTATCATTGAAAGGATGATCAACTTTACTCCATACAGAATAAGATCGATATTAACTCGTCGAGTACCGGTTTTATAGACACAATTAAAGAACAATAGGTCGCGGTCACCGGTGACCGCTTAACATGTTCTTTGTAGCCAATGAAGGAAAGAGATGACGCTATACATAATAATTTTATCTCCATCTCTTTCACTTACATGTATAGAAGTTCTAAAATCTTACACACTCAGTGCATTATACAAGGTGTTACAAAAAATGTATGACAATGCAGTTGCTAGTTAGGATATGACAAACAAACTCTCCATACTGCACAAAAAGAACTAAAATTAGCACTTTCCATAGAAAAACACAACTTTCACTTTCATACCCTGAAACCAACAACTACAAAAAGCATTTCATTTTACCACACCCTGTATCATTCCCAGCTCTCATAACAAACATGTGAGTGAATATGTAACGTGTGTGTGAGATGTATGTGTGTGAGTAATGTTATATGTGTGTAGGTGATACATAGGTCACTATAGTCTTTGCACTTGCTTGCACTAGGGCTAGCCTTCCCGCTTGATGCTTGGCATCTGTGGTGGAGGTTCGGCGAGGCCTTTCACCTGGAACAGGAATTATTAAGTTTTTTTTTACTAATTTTTTCGAGATCCGAAGACATCCTAGAGATACACAGCAACAACATCACGCCTATTATCCCCGAAGGGGTAGACAGAGCAGCGGCACTTAATGCCACTGTACAATGTAACACCCACTTTTCACTATTTATGTTATAAGTCCCATGTATTAGGGGGTGAGTCTATTGTCATATACCGGGTATGATTCCAGACTCCGTGCTCAAGTTTTGTACTCAGTTTTTTTTAAAAAAAACCTAGTTATATTTTGCCCGATTCGGAACCGAACCCGAGACCCCTTGCAGTCGCACTTGGCCAACGAGGCAGTCGTACGTACCTTTTGTGATAGAAAAGTATTACAAAAGTACGTATTTGAGTGATTTTAGACGCATATTCACAAAATATTGCATAAGTAATAATTGTAAGCCATACTTTCAAGTTTTTAAGTTCAATAAGGAAAAAAAAAACTATAAAATATGTTTCATAAAGATGGATCATTTAACTTAAAATAACGAGTTACTCACGTAAATATACTGAGAAAAGCTCTACTGATTACTACACAAAAACTATTAATTTTTAGTTAATTCAGCTTGTCTCACGATAGTTACTATAAAAACATTGGATCATTTATCAATTTGTGTACTCTACTTTTACACGCAAAAAGATGTATAAAATTGAAGTTGTCTACTTCAAATTATTGTATAAGTTTTTCTTTATGGTATAAGCCGGTAAACGAGCAGACGGTTCGCCTGATGGTAAGCAATCGGCGTCGCCCATGGACACCTGGAACACCAGAGGCATTGCAAGGGCGTTACCGGCCTTTTGGGATTAGGAATTTGAGGACTGTTGGGGATTCAGGGATTGAGGAAGGGGGGGTAATTGGGCCTCCGGTAACCTCACTCACAAAAGACAAGTGTTGTCGTTTCACGTCGGTTTTCTGTGAGGCCGTGGTATCACTCCAGTCGATTCGTGCCGAAGCATGGCTCTGCCACACTTAAAACATTTGTTGAAAAAGTTGTCATAAAAAATACCAAGGCCAGGATTATGTTTTTGTAGTAACGACGACTACTTAAGTGGCTTAAGTTCAACTAAGGCGCTTGGTACTTAGAAAACCCAAGCAATTAGGTGCTCACTTAGTGAAGATGGGATTACCCATAACACGGGCTAGCAGTAAAACAGTATACATGTTACATTTACGAATTTTTAACCGACTTCAAAAAAGGACGGTCTACGTTTTTTTTTATACCACGACGGTGGCAAAAAAGCACACGGCCCACCTGATGGTAAGCGTTTACCGTGGCCTATGTACGCCTGCAACACTTGGGGCATTACATGCACGTTTGATCTGTATGGTGTATAGACGGTTATGCACAATCATCTCGCAATTGAAAAAATACAAAAAAGTGTTTGTTTGTTACATTTAGGAGAAGGTTTTAGTAAATTAATTGACCGACTTATAATAGGCGGGGGATTTAGGTCGGTTTTTCTATACTTAGTTTATAAAGGAATTATATATTATGGTTCTAATCATTGCGATAGCTAATCTTCCGAGGAATATACGGAGTATTGTACGGCCAGTTCGACAAATTAGGCTCACCCCCTAATACATGGGACTGATAACATAAATAGTGAAAAGTGGGTGTTACATTATAGTGGCATTAAGTTCCGTAATGTGCACCTCTGCCTACCCCTACAGAGATTATAGGCATGATGTTATGCCTTGAAAGTAAAAAAATATAAGAAACATAACAAATGTCAACTTGAATATATTCACCTTTTGCACGATGTAAGACAATATAATATGTCTATAATAATTAATTAGATATTTGCTACAAAGACTGCTTCGTTGGCCGAGTGGTCGCAAGTGCGACTGCCGGACAAAGAGTCTCGGGTTGGATTCCCGGGTCGGGCGAAGTATTACTGGGATTTAAAAAAAATCTCAGTAGTAGCACGGAGTCTGGAACTGTGTCCGGTATATAGCAATAGGCTCACCCATATTACATGGGACTTACAACATAAATAGTGAAAAGTGGGTGTTACATTGTACAGTGGTATAATGTGCACCTCTGCCTACCCCTTCGAGGATGTTATGTTATGTTATTTATAGTTAACAAATCCTCCCACCTTAAGCCGAGCGGCTGTCTTGAGGAAAGCGGGCAGCTGTTCTTGGGAAACATTGACTTCCCCGGCGTACATGAACTCCAGTATAGCTTGCAGGTGGAGGTACGACACATCCTTCAGGATTATTATCGGGTGCTTTGATGGATTCTCCTGCAAATAAATCAGTGTATTTTGTTAAAATATACTGATATAAACATCAATAGGGTTGATGACAAATTTTTATTGTAATGTCCGTTTGATAGATTGTTTTAAAACATTACACACGTATTTTTTTACAGAAACGAATTCTTTCGACGATATATTGATTTGAAATGTCGCGTGACGTCACTTCTATGTACATTTTATACGTGTTAAAATGACGTTTTAGCCCCCACTCCCAAACTTTGATTCGTTATATCTAAGTATTATTTTATTATACGACAAAATAAAAAAATACGTGTCTAATATTTTTTCATTGCCTAACCGACGGTCTCGGATTAGATTTTTAATTTTCATACCCTGTCATCATCCCTATTGTACGTAGGTCACTACAAAAGTTTTGTCGTATGACAAATAGTTAATAGTTATAATTCAACTGAGGGTAGATTCTAATACATCAACTAATGTCAACATATTTTGCATAAGTTTCGTTGGAGTAACTAGCTTAGTATTTTTTTAGTGAATTTTTTAACAATTGGATATGTCAGATTTAAATCGTCGTGACGTTCGGGTGATAATTTTGTATAACTTTAAGCGTGGATTATCAAAACAACAATGCTTCGAAGAAATGAGTGGTGTGTTGGGTGATAATTGTCCATCCCTTAGGACTATAGAAAGATGGTTTTTACAATTCAATCGCGGCAATTTTAATTTAGAAGACGATTCAAGACCGGGCAGGCCGATTGACGCAACCACTGATAAGAATATTGTGGCTGTGCGAAAAGTGATTGAAGGAGATCGCCATGTAACATACCGTCAGATCGAGGAAACACTCAATTTAAGTGCACCAACTATTCATCGAATTCTTCATGAAAACTTAGGAGTACGAAAGCTTTGTTCACTTTGGGTACCACATTTGCTAACTGATGCGATTAGGGAACAGCGCGTCAAATGGTGTAAAGAAATGTTAAAAAAATTCAATGACGGCAAATCTAACTATGTGAATTCAATTATCACTGGTGACGAAACCTGGCTGTATTATTTCGACGTTCCAACTAAATCCCAGAGTAAAGTGTGGGTGTTTGAAGACGAAGATCCTCCGACATCCGTTAAAATGTCCCGGTCAGTCAAAAAAAGAATGGTAGCCGTATTTTTCTCCAGAAGAGGTATTTTATCAATAATTGTGCTTGATAAACAGAAGACTGTGACAGCTGCCTGGTACACTGAAAAATGTTTACCTCAAGTTTTAGAATCTTTGAAAAATGAACGTCCAAACTCAAGACTCGACACTTGGTTCTTGCATCATGATAACGCTCCCGCGCATCGAGCCGGCAAAACTGTGGACTATCTGAATCAAACTGGGATCAAATTACTGGGACACCCTCCTTATAGCCCAGACTTAGCACCGTGTGATTTTGGCCTGTTCCCATATGTAAAAAAGCAACTAAAAGGCCGCAAGTTTACTAATGATGACCAACTTTTAGGTGCTTTTGAGGAGATATGCAGCAGTGTGCAGGAAGGATTCTGGAGCGACATCTTTGATACGTGGTTTGCACGTATGAAGACCTGCCTAAGTGCCAATGGAGAATACTTCGAAAAAAAATAATATTTCACGGAGTACGACAAAACTTTTGTAGTGACCTACGTATTGTATTTGTATACCCACCCACTTGTCATCAATGTAAACAATTACAAGTGTATAGGCTTTCGAGGCTTGTATGTGAAGTATATGTGGAAAATAAGAAATGTATTGTAGTTCTTTGATTTAATCAACAGCCTATAAATGCTCGCAGCCTCTTCTCACACGCAGGTTTGAGCATTTATCACCACGCTTACTCAATGCGGGTGGCGATTACAATACTTTTCTTATTTTCCACATATACTTCACTTACAAGCGTCGTTTCCTCACTATGTGTTCCTTCACCGTTTGTCAGTGAATTGAGCAAGAGTGGTGCTTAATGCTCAAATCATCTCCGTGTAAGAGGAAGCTTTGCTCAACAATGGGCATTTATAGGCTGTTGATGATGATGACGACGACGAACTTTACCGGGTCAGCTAGTTAGAAATAAATTGACCAGAAACCTATTTACACAAACTAACCACCTAATTTTCCACACGCATAGATTTAGGCACATACGCCATACGCATATATATATAAAGTTACAGACAAACACAGGTAGCATAGCATCGCCTTACATTCAGCCAGTGTCGTGTTCCCAGCTAATTTACTAAAACATCCTGTCTATTATTGTCTATGTTTACTCTTTGTATCCGTACCTGTTAATTGCCAATCATATTAAATACATTAGTCATACATTAGTCAAATTGTTACTTGTGTATTGTTGTTGAGTAGGTCTATGATTTCATTTGGTGTATGACGTTTATGTAGGTAACTATTTTAAATGTGGGAGAGTCATTTCTCCTTCTGCGAAGCAGTCATGCTAGCCAACGGTCTAGCCGTCGCGGTAGACACTTCGGGCGTTGGAGATCGCGCGACGATCTCCGTCGCCGTCTCCAGACCCGCACTTACGAATGCGGATGCCGATGTAAGTGAGGGTCTGCAAACGGCGAGCAAGGGTGGTTCGCCGCCCGACCAGGATCAGACCCGTGCGTGCGTTCCGCGCGCGCCTCAAACAGCCATCAGACCACCACAGATGGGGCCCAATAGGTCTGATGCCCGATACGGAGCCGCAGAAGGCCTAACGGGTTGCCGGCTCCGGCTCTAAGAGCAAGAGTAGGAACGGGGTGGTTTTTAGTCAGTAAGAGTCTGACACTCCCTCTCCCCTAACCCAAAGCGGGAGAAGTCATTGGATGATATGCCCCGCAAAAAAAAAAGTGTGGGAGAGTCATGCTTCGGCACGATAGGGCCGGCTCAACCGGAGCGATACCACGGTCTATTATTCCGAATATTCAAAGTTGTTCCTCCAATAAAATTCAACTGAGTATTGAAATATCGGTCTAAAGTCACTCTTACTAATATGGTTTAGAGGTGAGTGGTGAAAATTACCATTAACCTCTGTCCGTAGAATCCACTAACAGCAACAAAATTTTGACACATTTTTAATGGAGCTTGCATTAACATGTTTAGGAGCATAAATATACAATAAAATGCACCTAATGTCAGGTTATTGAGACGGGCCATAAGGTTAACTATAACATAATTGAAGAATTTAATCAATGTAACTCAAAAGGTAATTGAATAATTTAATTGATAACTACCCGGTTGTGCTTTTTTATCTCTTCATTTATTTTGTTTCAACGTTAAGATTTTTTAAATAATTAATTTAAATTGCTGATCTCTAATTGGTGGCTTAGCCGTCCGCGAGTCACTTAAGGAGCCAGTAGAATACCAGCGCAAGGCCCTGTCTTGCACATGTTGAACTGGTCCCATTTCACGGCAGACTTTGGACATGAACATGTCATCAGTGGCCACTAATATATTAACACATCTGTACATGTCACTTGTTTTTTAGCATATGAAATAAAATTATTTCCTTCTTTCTTATTAGAAATAAGTGATTATGCAGCTTCCTAGCCTTTCGTAGCAATAGCAAAACAAATAATGGATTAATTTCTGCTATGTACATTGTTTATTTAACGTTTTAGTGTAAATAATTTCAAGAATAATCTTAAATATGTGTTAAAGGTCATTGCTGATATAGAGCAGAACAATTAGTATGATATAATGGAATTCCACTTTCATTAAAATTTATAGAATGCATAATATATGTTTATGACAATAAATCTTAAATTTTAATTTTTTTATTAGATTTTAATCCTAACATCTTTCATATTAATCTAACTAAAGCATAGCAATATATAAAAACGAAAGGTTTTACTTGTTTGTTTGCGTTTAATAGGCTTTGGAACGACTAGACCGTATATTTTCACATTGTTATCCCGATATTAACACAAGATTAGAACCTGCATGAGAGCAAAACATTGTAAGTTCAGGTAACTAAACGCACAGACGGAAAGTCTAGTTATAATAAATAGTGATACCAATAGCTTACCTCTAATAAGCTTTTGAAGTATGGACTACACGCAGACAGGACCATTTTATGTGCCTTACACGTCTGGCCTTCACACGCTAACGTCACCTGGAAGAAAAGTATTTTTTTTATATTACAAACAAATAATGAATAAATCTATATAAATAACAATGAATTTCCGTTCATTAGTCTCACTAGAACTCGAGAATTAGTATTATATTATTGGAATTGGTTAAGCTAACCAATTTGGGTAATTTTGGTCTTGAAACATTCATGGAAGGTGAGGGAAAGTTTAAAATGTGAGAAATAATTTTTAAGTGGAACGAAGTTTGCTGTGTCAGTTATAGAAACAAATAAGATGTAATGTCTTTTATTCCTTGACTAGTACTGGATGGTTAAAGAGATGTTAACAGCGACTTTAATTCAGTTACATTATGAATCCCACATAGGCTCACCCCCTATTACATGGGACTAATAACATAAATAGTGAAAACTGGGTGTTACATTGTACAGTGGTATAATGTGCACCTCTGCCTACCCCGGGGATAAAAATGTGTTGTTATGTTATGTTATAATATGAAGTCCTTATTTTATTCTGCTTGCAGAACTCAGGAACTCATCAACTGCACTGATTTGAGAAGCAAGTAACAGTGTTTAACCTCCTAAACTGCTGGAACTTTAATAAACTGGCATTGAAGACTGTCTTATATAGAAGCAGTTTAGATGTTAATTAACTCGTCGAGTACCGGTTTTATAGACACAATTAAAGAACAATAGGTCGCGGTCACCGGTGACCGCTTGGTGTTTGACAGTTTAATGGGTTAAAATAAATAAACATTTGGGGGTAACATAAACAAAATGTTTAAAAAAAAAGCAGGTACTTAAAATTAAACAACATTGGTGATTTTGTTGACTTTTTGCAGTTTCCAAGTTGTCAAAACCAATTAGATTAGTGCAATCTAATGAGTATTGATTATGAAAGTGCACTGAAACTGTCCATCCTTTTGACTCTAGATTTAGTTAACATTTTTAAATAAGTCGCTGAGTAGGTACTCTTTAGAGCCTTGAAATTTTATTTATTTATTGTTAACAACCTTTAATCCAATATTAACATACATAGTGTGGGAGAATTTTCAATAATAGCAGAAGAATCCAACTGTTTAGTATTTTAAGGTTATAATAGTTTGTTTGTACACAAATATACCAAAATATCATCATACTCACGTCTGTAAAGCTCTTCTCATCTCTCAAATGCCTAAACGATGTAACCATATTCGTCTGGAAGTCATTCCATTTCAGGAAAAATTGTTGATCACCCATTTTGGAGTTTAATTACACTGAAAAACACAATTTAACTATTGAATTTTATATAATATGTAACACTTTCCACCGATTCTAGTAAGAATAGAGTTATTGTAAGTATTCTGAGTATTTTTTTGACAAACCTTCACAATTTTATTAGTGCACTTTAAATCGTTTACCTACGTCACTAGTTGCAATAGAAATGATGCTTACCTACGATCACTTGGTTACAATTTATAATTTTAAAATTTAGACCCTGTACACCAACTTAGATTTGTTGTACAAGGGCACCGCGTATTATTTCGAAACTATCACAAATAGTTAAGCAATTGAATCTCAAAATAAAGACGCTGTCTCGCATAAATTAGTGACTTCTTTCTATTTCTTCAAAATTCCTTCATTCACCTATTTAGGGTTGCCATATGCGTTTTTGTGTTTTGCTTGTTTTAGAACTAAACTTATGATGATACCACGCTGTTAGAGATTTTAAATTACAATTTTATTCGTTATCATTTTGAATAAATTAGTTGTGGTTACTTATTGTTTTGCTTTTAAGCTGAAAACTTGAACAGTTTTACTTCTAGCTAATTGCGTATATCGCATGCGAGCTTCAGCTACTTATTTATCTACCACTTTTTTAATATTTTTATCGAAATCCACAAAAATACCCGTGTACCTATAGCTTTTAGGTTCTATGAGACAGCATTGGGAGGTTCTACGGTTTAATATTGAAGTTTTACATTAAAGTACCTACGTTTTTCTAACGCGGTAAATAGGATAACCAATGTCCCAGATTTCATTCAAGTGGTATTGTGTAATTTTACCTAATTGAGATCTGATACTATTTATGGTATAGTTTACTTAAAAAAACTAAATTTTAATTTTTTATAGAAGCCTTTTCCCTCAAAAATATTGATTTAGAATGAATAATTAATATATTACCCTTAATGTGGGTAAAGGTCACTTATGGTATTCCTAATCATTCATTGGCCATCATCGTTCATTCTAAAATTTTAAGATGCGTTCATTCAATATAAGTTGCGTTCATTTTGAAATATTTTTAATGTTTGGTATTATTATGTTACTCCATAGTTTATTGCATTTCATATTGCATAAGTTTCTGATAATATAATTTACAATATCTATTAATAAAATATCAGATTCTTAAATAATTATATGTAAAATTTGTATTAGCGCCATCTTGTGGCGAGTAGCATCAACTCACAGTATATGAATAAAACCCATCTGGTTGATGTTGAAGTAAATTGAATAAAACGTTAATTTTGTTTTCATATTTTTGTATTTTGTATTCAGATTAATATAACTCGTTATTTAATACAAAAGAAAAAGACACTACAGATATCCTGTCTTTAAACCGATACGTAAAATAATAATAATGTAAGAGCTTGGAGGAGGAGCAAAAAGTACACAAGGATTATGATAGATAGCGCTGTTTTATATATTGGACATTGTTCTTCTTTTGTACGTCAGTACTTATACTCATCAATGTAGCCATCCATGGATGAAATCGCTACTTAGCCAGACTACAAGTTTGTTTTTGTAATAGAATTTTAGATGTACCTCGTTAGTCGAGTAGTCGCAAGCGTTATTGCTCGGGTTTTATAGGTGCAATTCTAATTCGTAGTTAATCATAGCATTTTGTACTGCCCGGTATAGGCTTCTCCCTTATCGCACCTCATTCTTAAGGGGTCAAGATTAAGCAAGATCACCTCTCAAGGTATGAAATAAAGAAAAGCACATTTATTGATACACCATTTTATTTATTTGACAAAACCGTTTTTAAAACGACACTCATATTATTGCGTAAAGAAAGAGAGGCAAAGTGTGAATTGTAACATCTTATTATAAGTATCATAATTGTATAATAGTAATAATTATTAAAACCATGTGTAATAATGGTAAAAATTTACTTTAATCTTATTTATTACGAGAGCATATTTTTAAAACACACGTACACTACGTTTAAAAGGCCAAGCGGTGTTGCCACATTATTCTTAAAATCTAAAACTTACAATTATTATTTTTTACTAGCAAGTACGAGATTACTACCTATTTTCTAATTATAATTATGTAACATTATTTTCTTTAGCCAGCAACTCATACCTACCTACATACTGGACGAAGCAAATTTTTACACAAAAAAACACTAAATAAATACAATTTTAAATATCAAAAATCATTCGCTTTTTTTTTCTAACTATAATTGACATGAAGCAGGAATCAGTTAAATTATTATAATACGTAGGTACACTTATGTTTTAAATCTAAAAAACTTACTTTGGTATACTTTTAAATTACAAACAAATATTTATCTATAATTTAAGAAAAGTCACGTCTATTTTTGAATACCTAAATATGAATAGTTTTAGGAAAAACAACGGCATTACCATTCCATTACTTCACATATTACTGTTAAGTTTAAGGCAGATACATGTTTTCTTAGCATATTATATTTTCCAAATAATTTCCTATTGCCATTGTTTTTCTCATAACCAAGTTCTTAAACATAAGTACTTACACATACAATTTACACAAGTTATTGCTTAAATCTGACTTCTATACCAATAACTCTAAAAAGAGCAGTATCATTATTATATTCATACAATAATAATTATTATATTAAAACTTATATTATTAAAATATATTTGGTATATAGTAGCGTTACAAAATATACAAAGCACATTCGAACTTAGGTATATTCTAGCGTATGATTCGTCAATCCAGAAAGGAGACTTTTATTCCTATATTTCTAATTACCTATATATATCCTATATATATCCTACAGGTTCATAAGCTTTACAAAAATAAAATATAAAATATTGCTGCACCGAAATATAACCAATAAAATAATTATAAAAAAAACTCCAATAAATTTTTGAATGTAAACTAAATAGTTTTTTAATTAACATAATTATTCCCAGTTTGGTTAACGGGAACCACCTATAGCCGTGGGTTAGAAAACTTATATATTCAGAATTTATAATATAATAAAATATATCAAGTTATAAGTACTAAGAGATCCTAACCTTTTCCTTAAAATACTTTACCCTAACATCTAGTCTTTGTCAGTAAAGAAATGCCATGAATTTGAGCAAACAAAAGTCGTATATAAATTAATTTATTGTATTAGAAAATTATAGACGTCGAAGTTCTAAAAGATTTCTACAATACATTTTACAAACTACATTAGCATAAGACTGGCTTCTGCCCCATGAGATAAAATGTTAAATACAGACACTTTTAAAGATTGTAATAGTACCTAATACATATATGTAAGATGAAACTATAATATATTATATATTTAGATGAAGCTTAAAGTGTTAAGATAAATTGTAATACAGGCTGATATATTCAAAAAGTTTTATAAATTATTTTAGACAAGTATACGGAATCTAAAGTATTAACTAAGTTATTATTATAGGTAAGCTATTGTAATGAATAGATGCTTAAACTATTCATTGGTTTTAAAATAAATTGGAGTTTATATTTTAAGTCTTAGCATAATTATCTAAATTGTATAGAGAATGATAACTTCGTCGTTTTGGTATCATAGCTTAGAATAAGAAAAAGACTTCGTTTAAAAGATGACTAGATAAATTTTGGAATTTGCGAAACTTAAGATTTTTGGCTGAACTTTATTACTATTACTAAAATGTGTGTTTTATAAGTACATACATGAAAGGTTATGGAAAATAGTACCCGACTAGACGGAAATGCAAAATTCTTCGGCTCCTACATCGTCGATAGATTTATCAGCTAACTAGTTATGTGCATTAAATATAAAGTGAAGATTTCGAAAACATTTGTTTTTATTGTGTTTTAGAGTTTCATGAGAACATAGTGTTCCGACTATGATGTTTAATTCTAAGAAACAATAAAAACTTACATTAAAATGACTCTTAAACTTACAACTGGCTCCATTTATGTAAGAGCTTGAGTATACACTAACAACTACAATATTATAGTGTACTTTAAGAACTGGCTCTAAAACCTTCGTTGTTGTTTACCCACATTTTTATTTAAGCTTTAAGTACAGTAAGGCATAATAGGACGGTTTATACTTTATATTAAGGCAGCTAAAGGCACCTATTAAATTATTATTTACACGCTATTGCATTGAAGTGATCTGTACCATGATGGTAGCACTTAATGCTTCTACTCGTTGCTAGATGGCGTTGTTATAAAATATACATTCGTTGAAGCTTTGGATTAATTATTATATATAACTAGAAAAAAATATTTACAATAATTTATTTGCGCAAACATACTATGTTACGTCTACTCGTTGTTCGAGGTTGTACCTTTATCAATTGCTTTGGACGTTTGTATTTGCATGTTTTGTAGTGGTATTTTTAGTCCCCGCGGCGCTAGAATAAGTCTAGCGGGAGTCACGAGGACTATAGCGTACTCTCATTTATTTACTCCCAAAATTTTTGCTGCCTCGTCGGCGGACGAGAGAAGCTTATTGATAGTCTTATCTGGAATGCCGAGCAGTTTACCAATGAGATCGCTGTTCTCAGGGTCGTTTTCTGCCTCCGAGGAATATTTGCGCGACGTCATGTCGAGTTTCAGTTTCTTCTCGTAAGGAGCAGAGGGCGGCGAGTTGTTGTTGTTCACGTTGCTGGGAATTTCGCTACCCGAACCGTCATCATCTTGGTATCGGTACCTGTAAAAATAAATGGATTTAGTTCCTGTTTGGGCCATTATAGGTAGTAATAGGTTAGGCGGTGTGTTTAAAGTTCAAAGTATAAAGCAAAATATTTGTTCTAGTCTTTAGATTATGTTTTGATCAAGGTACTTTACTTACCCATTAGTGATACCATCCTCAAGTGGAGTATTTGGAGGAGACGGTTCCTCGTCATCTGTGATTTCCTCCCGATGTTTCTTGCGATGTCGCAGCATGCTGTGTTTCAAGGTAAAACGACGTCGGCACAGGTCGCAGGCGAACGGCCGCTCTCCAGAATGCGTCCTCATATGACGACGGAGGTCCTCTGCTGACCAGAAACGGCGAACACAGAATGCACAGACCACCTAAAAGAATAAAAATAGCATAATTAGAACAGTTTACTTTTTACGTTAATATAATTTATAAATATTTGAATGATACGTGTATAGTGAATAGAAAGTGGTTCATATCTTACCTTTCTGTTAGCATGGTCGGGAAATTTCCCTCTCTCGTCATCATCAGCGCTTTCACTTCGGTCACTGGCAGCGTCCAAAGCTCCCTTGCTGACCAGCTGCTCGTACTCGGCCGCGTGGCTGCTCGCCAAGTGCGATAACGCTCCGCTTCTATCTCCGAAGGAGGCTTCACAAAGATGGCACTTGAAGACTAGACCACCATCATTGGTTTCTTCCAGGATTTCAGGGGTCGGGGAACCTGGCTGGGAGTCTGATCCATGTCTCGAGGACATATGTTTCTTTAAAGTTTCAAGAGAGGAAAATGTGCTAGTTGGACATGTAGCGCATTTGTATGGCCGTTCCGGTACCGCTCGCGAGTCATTTATTGGTTGCGGTGGGGAGACCGTCTCAGGGATTGGCTCAGCCAGTACCGCTCTGGCGGACCCTCCATGCTTCCTCAGTAGATGACGGTCGCAGTTTGATTTGGTGGTAAATAGAAGCGTACAGTGCGGGCACTTAAACGGTTTCTGTCCGGTGTGTGTGAGCACGTGGCGTCGCAGTGATGATGACCAGGGAAACTTCCGATGGCAGTAGGGGCACGATACCCTGTTCGGTGCTAGACTGTACGCTGACTTTTTCTTCGGTGGTAAAGCTGTGTCTGTTTCAGACCTGAAAAGAGGGTGAACACTAATGTTAATAAATAATTCTTGTATTATGAAACCGTTTAAAAAATAAAATAGGAATTCTTTGCTATATGGCATTATTGTATTGAATAAATAACTTACTTATTTTCATCGCTGCCAGAATTGTTGCCCTCGCTAGTTGAAGCCACTAAACCCTCCTCATCTTCTTCTTCATCACTGCGAGTGGGCACCACCGGTACAGGTAGTGGTTCCTGCGTCGGTGAGCCGGAACTCATTGCAGACTCGTTCTTGTCATTGTTGATAGGGAGAGGTTTGTTAATTAAGTTTCCAGCTATTTTAACATCAAAATCTTTGGCCATTTCCTGTTGGCAAGTGGCCATTAGAATTTCAGCAGCTGCTCGACGCGCCGCAGTATGATCTTCCACCTTATTTTCCTGGTCAGGCTCTTCGTCTATAATGAGCGCGTCCTCTTCATCTTCTTCATTGTCTGCCACTTCATCAGAATCTCTACGAACGGGTGAGCGTTCAGATTGTTGTAAGGGCCTTTCAAGATGGCGAGCTAATAGTGCGAACTTCATCCTCTCGTTCATATTATCGGACATAGGGTATGGTGGCGGAGCCCTCGGGGCTGGTCTCCGCACGCTCCAATGCTGTGGATGCTGCTGCTTTACATGCCTTTCCATGTTGGAGCGCAACGTAAAGCGGGCAGAGCATTGAGAGCACGAGAAGGGTCTCTCAGTTCTATAACGCCGTTGTTTTTGTTTCGGCATCAAAACACCATTCTTAATAACCATTTTTACAGAATCTGTTTGGGGAACGAGGGTATTAGTCATTGGTGGTCTGGGTGAGTCAGAGTGCGGTGATGGTATCGGAGAGATGGACGGTGGTGGCTTTTGTTCTTCTTCTTCTGGCTCTAATTTTCCCTGAATTTCTTGTTCATTTGGAACAAGTCTGCCGCCAGACATACTCAAACCCCTGATGATTTCTTTCTGTATATGCTGTTTTATTTCAGCCAATTCTTGAGAATCAGTGGGGTGCGGAAAAAAGGAAGGTTGAAGTAGGTAAGGTGTGATGGGAAAAGATGGCGGTAAGGGTAATCCAGGGATACCAGGAACAGCACCAGCGTATAGTTGGGACAATTGCGATGCGTAGTAGGCCGGGTCAATTTTAGGAAGGGAATTCTCAAATAATCTCTGGGACGCTAAAAGGAATCTTGTTTTTTCAAAAGCTGAAGCTGCGACACTGGCAGCGTCAGGCTCGAACGATGGACGTGGTGGGACTTTAGGTTCCTCGGACTCAATGTCTCTTTTCTTTTTACTTAGATCAAGAACATCACAACTGTTATTGTCACTCGTGCTCAAGTCGACGGGAGCTTCTTCGTCGTATGAATCGTGTACGTCGTTGGATTTGTAAGTTATGTCTGGTTGCCTGAACTCCGGTATTTGAGTCAGTTGACCAATACCCTTCACTTTAATTCGTGGTTGGGACTGCGGCACATCTCGCGTTATTGGAAGTGGTGACTCAGGCAAGGGTAACGGTAACGGTTTGCTAGTTAAGTTTGTGACAGGATGTCTTTCGGTAATGAAGCTAGGATTGAAATGAGTGAGCGGAGTGTCGCGTCCTGAGCTTTCATTTCGTCTGTCGATATCCGGCGTCTGAAATGCGAGTGATCTCTTCACCTCGTCTCTCGCTAATTTTGAATTTATCTCATCATTGTTTGGGTCTTCAGATGGGTGATAAATTATTGAACGTTTCACATCTTCTCTGGTGATTTTAGCATGCCTGTTTCTTAAGTGGCGCTCGCAATTGGCTTTTGTGGTGAATGCATAATTGCACACAGCACATTCATAGGGCCTGTCGCCATTGTGTGTACGCATGTGGCGTACTAGAGCTGCCTTATCTAAGGAGGCGTGGGGACACATGTTACACTGATAAGGTCCCGGGCCCGTTCCACTCAAATGTACTCTGTTGTGGCCTTTCAGTGCTCGAAGGTTGGGGAATTTAGCAGGACATAGCCTACAAGGGAACTCACCACGCAGTTTCATGCGGCGAAACTCTGCCGCGAAGTTATCTTGACTCTCTTCCTGATCTCTCTCTTTGATGATGGTGTCCGGTGGGGTTAAAATTGAGCTTTCTAAGGCCACTCTTGTGCCAGTGAGCCTCTCTAACAGGCCACCAGCAGACGTGACATTTAAAATCGACTTTATATCAGCGAAGTCGCAGGCAGCATCGATATGTCTCATGCCGTTGGTCACATGGTTTTCGTCAAATTTGGGTGTAAATCTTTCCATCGGTGGAGTTAATGTACCCGTGATACCAAACGATCTATTTGTGAGATCTAATTTAGCAAAGAAATCGTCCCTGCGATCGCGCTCTTCGCGTGGGCTCGGGATACGTGTGTTGGACAGACAGGATGTCTTGTGAATGTCTAAAGCTTGTCCACACGGAAAGTCACGACAGCACATGTCGCATCGGTAACGTTGGTCAGTCACTGACACGTGCGGGTTACGCTCACACACTCCTCGGGCAATCTCTGGGAACTTTTTACTGGAAAAATCTACGAACGTTAAGTCATCAAATCCAGATTTTGTGTCGTCACTGTGCGCCGTGAATCTATGAAGGTCATATGCGTTAGCAGATTCGAATCGCTGCCGGCATTTTAGGCACTCGAACCTTGCTGTTCTTTTGTCCATAGGTTTGGGTGACGGTGAGGTGGAAGCAGCACGTTTGCGCGCTCTTCTCAAGTCATCTTCCTCGCTCCTGTCTGATCGGTTGTCGCTGTCTATGCTAGTCGTCCTAGTGACGCGAAGCTCTTTCTTTTCAATTTGAACTCCGTCCATTTCTTCATCAGCCTCGACCTTTGCTTCACTGATGACTTCCTCTGTTTTTATATCTGTAACAAAAGAGTACATGTTACAATTGATTACGGATTGTATGTTTGAATAACGCGGGGCGCTTTCTTACAATTCCAAGAAAAGTCGACAATAGATGAGTCAGGCAATTCACTTATGCGAGGTCGCTATATTAGAATAATAATAATCTGATATTATCAGCATTGGACACGATGCTAATAACAATTTGCTAATAGATCTCTTAATGTATTTCTTTAATTACGTATTTATTTGTTGCTATTCGATAACAGATGGCGTTGGTGTCACCAACAACAACAACAACAATTTGCATTATGAAAAGCTGTATTTTCTATATATTCATGAAGTATAGTTTCTATCTCACTTATATAATGAATCATCGACAAAGATTGAAAAAACTATTAAGCTTTCGTTAGTTTTACAAAACATCCTTAACTCTTAAAGCATACGTATCAAAGTCGAATAACACGGTCTATCCCTAAAATTCTCAAACCACAACAAAGTTCTCCACGGATGATTCACACTATCTTTTGTTTTAAAACGATCTTAAGTTGTATAGAAAAATCCGCCGTAACGAGTAGAGAACAAAGCACATTTTCCACTGGAACTAGTACAGCGAGCCTCGGTGAGGCTATAGGGCACAAAAATCAATAAGACTGACACCTAGTGGGCTATAGCTAGAGCTGTGTGTATGGTTGGCAAGCGACTGAGTCACGTAAACGCTATCAGATCGTTGTTTTGTGAAAAGTAGCGATTGTGAGATACTTTAGGGACGTGCCATGAATAAATACATATATTTCGTGGGTAATTCCATTAGCCTCTCGCTCATTTTTCATGAATATGGTACGCGAAGGTATTGAGAGCAATCTGGTCTAAGCTAGTATCGATTGGATAGAAAAGGTAAGGCTAGTAACATTACGTTGTTGTTGTATTTTTATATTGAGGTGTCACTGTATTGATGTTTTATTTAATCTAATCAATTTATTTTATCTCAGTATTAATTTTCTGTTAATAAAATGAAAATACTACTTATTCGACCAAAACATTTAAGATAGAATTTTCGATGGCCCTGAAATAGAACCTTGAGGTACTCTCTACTGTCTTCAGTACTCAAAACTCTTCTTTATAATGATTTTAGTACAAAAAATCATATTTAGATAGCTTTTTTTACCTTAGTAAAACTAAAAAATACTCCTGTCCTTTGTTTCATTCATTCTTAGATCCACAAACAAGATACGTAGATAAAGTAAGGTTATCAAACGCTTTCGTGAAATAGTGGCATTTGTAGCATATTTAACGAACGTGTTGGGAATAATTTCATATTATTGGCCTGGAAAACACAGATTATACTGAGATTAGATCGCGCCACTGCGCTTCTGAGTTTGTGTGTGTTACATTTTTAATTATCTATGATTTAGAGAAATGATAGGTGACGCATTAATTTTGATTAAAACCTCTTTCTATTTATTTTCTAACCTTATCTGCAGTCGGTAGCTCCTATTCTCATTATACTACTTTTAGATCGTTAGTTAATAAAGATTTTTAGAGTAAGTTAGTCACAGAATTCTATCCTTAGTAAGATTTAGAAGAAAAACTGAATCATTTGTTTATTGTAATCTTAAACACAAAGTCCAGTCAATTGTGTTGATAAAAAACGGTGTAGCGTATCGAGAATACTATTGTTTTGAGAGTTCGTAATTCAAATAATAACCAAAGGCAACATTTGTAAAAAATGTCAAACGTATGACCACAGATAATTTTTATTTTTTATTTTTAACTGTCAATTGAGCTTCAATGAATGACTTTAGTGGCCAAAACAAGAACGCGGTATCTAAAATGTGTTCATGACGCCAGGCAATGTATTGGTTATAGTAATTCCCTAGCAGGACAATGTATCTGACTGACTGACTCATTACCTCGTCACTAACCTACATACGAGATTAATCAATGTAAATTATTATTTTACCAATTATGGTATGAATATCATTATATCACATAATTTAATGACGTTTACCATGTTCTGATTTTTAAGGAAGTTTGAATTTAAATATAGAATGCATAATTATCATTTATGATTATTTGCCTCATACCTATCAATGGGATAATTATTTTTGTCGTTTTAATAGTGATTTAATTGTTACCATGTGGTTACATTGGAGTAAAATAGAATAGTTTTATTAGCAACAGAATCTTTCTCGCTAGTGTTATAAAAGTCGACTAAAGCATAGGAGTATAAAACGGGTATACTGTTCGGATTTCTAAAATATGCGAGATTAGGAGCTAATACAGAAAAAATACATTTAAATAACCTGAAAATCCTTTAAAATATGAATGACAAAATAAATAATATACCTACTTAACTTACCATTCATAATTTACTTTGAAAAGAATCGAAACGGAAACAATACCATATTACCTACATATTATTATAAAATAGGTGTAAACACGACACCGCTGTAAGTTTACGCGAACTCAACAAAATTACTTCATAAGTCGTATATCGAAGTATTTAGATAAACACATCCGTTAAGACTCGAATTACATTTAAATGATGTAAGAAGATATTTTTTGCTTCAATAAGTAAGTAAATGTTAAGAATCGAAAATTCTCCGTGGTCACAATATGGAGTCTGGAATTGGGTACTTTATTTAATCAAACATAAATTACTTCGACTGTTCAATACAATAATAATATTAAAAAATAATCACACTTTCATTAATTGAATTTATGACCAACTTAATTTTAGTATTTTACCAGCATTTTTTTAAGAAATAAGTGTGCTGTTTGACGCTAAAAAATAGTGACGTCACAATACATAATCTCGTACAAAACTCATAGAAAATTGTCGTTTTTGACAGCTCGAAAAAAGTATTGAATTTAACTAATTGGTAAGTACTCAATTGAAAGCCGTGTCTGGTAATAAACTCGCCTTCTATTATATGGGACTCATAACATAAGTGTTAAAGTTAAGTGGTTGTTACATTGACTATGTGGACCTTTTAACCCCTTCTGGGATTAAAAGAGGTGACATTACGTAACGTAATGAAGGAATCCTAGACCATACGTAGGATATTTGACGTTTAGTGATGCAGAAGTTTTTAATCATATCTATAATTCTAAAATTATGTTTGATGTTTGACTCGCTTGATATATAAAAGGACGTTCTGCAGTTACATCTTTGCTTATAGCTTTCACCGTCGAAGGAACACGTAATGTTTGCCGTATTTTAATGTATCTTCCTTTATGTACACCATCAAGGAAAAACGTATAATATTCGCTATGTATCTCCTACCATTTTCTCCTTATCTAAAGGTCATATTCCTTTGCATATTTCCCGGAGTTTCGGGGAGGGTGGGAGATTCGCACCCCTATTTCGACCCTCTGGCAACGCCCATGAGATTAACCCCCATAGGGAGACAGACTACCCAACCCATCGGATGGTAGTGGGCGTTTTAGCTATTTGTCCTTATCAACATAATCTGACGGTTTAAGATTCCAATTTTCGAGAAGCCATATTTTCTTTTGTTTCGTGCCGATGGAAACCATTTTCTCGTTTCGGTAATGTTGTTACTTATGACACACCCATTTTTATTTGTTTGTTTTTCGTTTGATTTTAAGAGAAAATTCGCTTTTTGATACACAAGAATAATCTTGTACTATTATATAAAGCGGAAGAATTTGTTTTTTTGTTTATTTGAACGCGCTAATCTCCGCAACTACAAGTCTGATTTGAATAATTATTTTTGTGTTGGATAGCGCATCATCTGTAGTCATATAGGTCGTAGCGTGATGTTTTATAGCATAGGCTATATATAGACCAATAGGAGCTGAGCAGAGCGTGTGAAACCTGAAGAAGCTAGTATCCTAATAATTACTCTTATTCTTTAGTTGAAATTATGGAAGAAGGAACGAAGAATTTTTTACATACCATCGATTTTGAAAGCCTCACTGAGTCTAGATTTCAATTTAGAATTTGTATAAGGATTGATTTTCATATTCTTTACATTCGTCTAAGTTCGACATTGTTTATCAAGCTGTGAATTAACTATGAACCTAAGAATACTATCAACTATGTTCTACACATATAATACGCATTTAACCTTTTGTAATTATATAAGATTTTATGTAGTTACAGTTCACAAGTAAGCTTTTGCTCGCGCCGGTGTAAATGTATCGTGTCGTGTATTCTTAGCAATAATCTTTTCACGCAATCTCATTTGTAACTTGATGCGTGCGCGCATTGTTGCTGGCTGTCACACCGTACTGTAATTTAATTAGCGACGTTCATCGTGTTATTTTTGAAAGGATTTTATAGGGATATTCTTTTAATTTGTAGTGTACTTTTAATTTGTTGTTTTGTTTGATAGATATTTTTTTGCGTTTTTCATTCTGTTACACAATTTTACAGTTTGACAAGTAAAATACAAAAGTGTAACTGTGTTGGCGCTTCAGTCGTTTTGTATCACAAAGAAGAAAAATACTATGGTTAGAGTGGTTCGTCTTGTTCATCAAATCATTATAGTTTGTAAGGTTTTCTTATACTTATTGTTTGTTTTATCTAAGGACTGTTCTGTTTTATTTTTTTTTCTTTTTATAATTATTTGAAATGTATAACGCCTTGGTTTTATGACTGTAATGTTATACTATTTAATTCACATAAATAAATAATTAAATCTAAGTATATTATTTTCTAATAATTTGTAAAGACATTGATTACCTACTAAGTTAATCACATACGAGTAAAAAGTTAACGCGACGGTGTGACAGTCATATAAACTTTACGCAACATGTACAAGGAAAACAAAAGTAAATTTTAATCGCGAATATTAATGTCGAAATTGAAAACGTATTTATTCTCGGAATAATTACTGAAATGCGCTAAATGTACGATTTTGTAGCACGCGTTCATCGAACCAAGATACTGACGCTTTAGTAGGTACGAGTTTGTTTTACCCATACTTTTAATGTATGAAGCGAAATTTTGGAGTGAACAATGAATAAAGGTTACATAATTTCATATACC